ATATATATATTTTAATATAGAGAGAAGTACCATATATACTCGAGTATAAGCTGACCCGAATATCAGCCAAGGCACCTAATTTTACCACAAAAGCTGCTTTAAAAATATGTTGAAAAACTTGGCTTACACCTGAGTATATACAGTATATTATTATTTCATTTTCCATATTGATCAGTACAGATCTAGGTCTTATATTTTAGCAGAGCATAGAATGTTATTGTCTGGTTGTAACATAATTTATAAAAGCACCTTCCTATGGTTATATTTTTCAGTTGTTTTATATTGTAGGCGAATCTTTAGCAAAAATCTTTGTATTTTAGTTCAATTCTTCGCTTATTAAATATGTCTATAAATAGAAAATCTTGGTCAAAGCATCTCCCATGAAGCCAATTCTGACTGCAACCCCGTGGGACAAGGCAGAACGCAGAGCTGCCCCCACAGGTTTTCCTATGTTGAGTTTGGACCACTAACCTCTCAGTTAGCAGGCAAGCACTTAACCACCCCTACTCCTTAAAGGAACCTAGATTATTACAATTTTATAGTATCAATAACTTCCTCAATGAGCTTACCTGTTCCTGTTCCTAGTGTCAGTATGTGGATGCCCATTTCCTTCTATGCTTGTTGATCTGGAGTATCACTAACTCTTTTAATTTTTTCAACCTGATTTACATTAGTGTTTAATTTGTATTTCTCCGTTTAATTGTGAAGTTTGTCATCATTGTACTCACTACATTTTTAATTTGTATTCTTGTCATTGCCTAATTTTCTATTGGCATGTACCCTTTTCCTTACTGGTTATTAAGAATCATTTATGTGACAATATTTTTACCCTGCTTTGTCAATTATGAGTTTAAATATATGCTATTAAAATTGTCATTTTTCACAGATAAGGACATTTAAAGTATATTTAGATATAATTCCGTCTCTGTTCTGTTTATTAACTGTATATTTTGGAAGCATGCTATTTACTAGTTTTGCATCTTATGTAAAAATATGTGAAAGTATGTTTTCATGTCTTTTTAAAATGCTTATATTTATTATCATGTGGATACATGGATGAGGGGTAACCCCACCCCAAAATGAAAAAACCTCCACTTGGCAGAACTTTTGTTGTGCACATTTTTCCTACTAGGTGAGCATCAAGGAACTTGCACTGAGTTAGTGCACCTAGTGACATCGCCTGGGAAGGTTCTCCATGGTCACAATGAATTATTTCTGTAAAAGCTATTCTGTTTGAACCTCACTTTTTGTGATGGCTGATTTTTTAAGTGAACAGCGTGCGGCTGTAAAATTGTGTTACTTGCTCGGAAAAAAATGCCACAGAAACTGTTGTGCTATTGAACACAACTTACCAGGATAGCACTATGGGAAAAACTCAACTGTACAAGTGGTTTTCTCATTTCAAAAAAGGTTAAATGTCGATTGATGACAAACCTTGTTCTGGACACCCAACAACTTCCTGAGCAGACGACAATGTCAACTCTGGTGCATTTGGAGTTTGTTCCACCAGGTCAGACTGTTAGTCATGCTTTCTATGTAGAGGTTCTGAAAAGAGAGATTAATAGTGTGCAACAAAGAAGACTTGATTTGTGGCAGACAAGGAACTGATTTCACCATCATGACAATGCACCTGTTCCTGCAGCCATCTCAGTGTACCATTTCTTGGCCAAAACCAGCATGCCTCTGTTGCTCCACACACCTTACTCATCTGACCTTGCTCTGTATGATTTTTTGTTCCCAAAAATGAAAAGGGACATGAAAGGACAGAGATGTGATGAAGTAGAAGAGATGAATAAAATTGATTTTTAAATGAGGGAGATACTGTCAGCCATCCATACAGATTATTTTGAAAAATGTTTCCAGAAATGGAATCTCAGATTTGACAAATGTATTCAGTGTAATGGAGAGTACACTTGATATTCTGTGATAATATTGTTTTGTAAAACAATTTAAATACATAGCTTTGAAAAAAATCAATTTTGGATACCCCCTAGTATATGCTTCCAATTAACTTTAGAATTAGTGTTTCAAGTACAAAATATCATTGTAGTATATATATTTACTCAGAGAGATGTAATATCTTTATAATAGTGAACATTTTCATCTAAGTACAGTTTATCCCTCTTTGTTGTAAGTTTTGTGTTCCTCAGTAATGTTTAATAGTTGTTATATTATTCCAGTACATTTCCTATTAAGTTTACTCTCATATATTTGATTTTTTTAGTGATTTTGTGACTTTAATAATTTTCCAATATTTTTAAATGGTTTACTTTTGGGAATAGAGAAAATAATTGCTTTTATATTATAACATGTTAATTTGCTTATTTCCTACTCATCATAATATTTTTCAATGGATTTCCTTTGGTTTTCCTGGAAGACATCAATTTGATTTGTAAATAATGGTACTTTTCTTCTTTCAATAACTACAATTCTTATTTAATGTTTCTGCCTAATCAATTTGGCCAGCACTTTCTGCATCTGATTTGTTTCTGAATTGAGTGGAAATTTTGTCTTTCATCTTTAAGTTTGATCCTAGTTGCTATTTTCTGTGGATATGTTAATTTACATAGCTATAGAGATAAGCAGATATATGCAAACTCATGGTAATTAGAAAACTGTTCCCTTATAATTTTGCTACAATTTTGTCAAGGGTGAAGTTTAACATTTATCATGTAACTTTTTACCAATATTATCTTTTTGAGATTATTTACCTTGAGTAAAATATGATGTTACTCATATAAAGTGGCCCCGAGGACCTCAAATTAAGAAGTCCAGCTTAACAACCTACCTCTTCTGATCCAGTTGAGCAAGGAGTTCTGATTCCACATGTAGGGGTCACTAATTTCTTTGGTACCTCTTTGATTTCCTTTAAGCAGGTTTGAATTTGAATACAAAGGAATATAAAAGGCAGTTCATGTTTTATAACCATTTCCCCCCCCTTGAAATTCTAGCTTTTCTCACACCTGTTTCACACATTCTCTTTACATGAGGCATTTTTATCACACCCATCTCAATCATTTGATTGGGTCCCATACCTGCAAGAAATACATAAACAGTACAAGAAGGTTTTAAGGGTCATTTCGTTTACCTCTAATAAGAAAACTCTTGCGTGGAACAAAATTCTTTTCTATGGAGTCTGAAAAAAATGCACCTAGACGTTGCAGATTTGTTTTAATGGAAGTTTCCTGTGTGGCAAGAAATAATCTGAGCATTTTCCTTTGAATTAAACTTTGTGAACACTTTGAACCTAAGTGCCTGGTGATGAATGAGGCTTTTGATAGCTTGCTGTTGAAGAGAAGATGAGAGTGTAAACGTGAGTGAGGCATACACTGAATCAGGCGGGGCAGGTTTCCATCTTAGACCTTGACCTCTGTTTCTCTCATTTGAATCCAGAGTAAAGCCTTTTGTGAATGGCATGCTTTTGTGCTTCCCCATCTGTACTAGCCACTGTACTAGTCTTTTGATAGTCAGATATTAACATTGCCATGACAACTCTAAGAAGCTATTACTGTTATCACCCCTACCGTTCCCATTTTACACCCAACAAAACTCAAGTCCAGAGAGAGGCAAAATCGATTGCCCAGTATTGTGCAACTGTTAATGGCAGTTCTTTGGGTTAGGCTCAGAGCTGTCCTTTCCAATATAGCTGCTGCCTATTTGTGTCCCCTCACCTCCGTATGCCCTAACACAACTTCTCTCTCTCTCTTTTCTACTGCCCCATCTCCTGCAGGCCCGTGACCAAGGTGTAGACGAAGAGGGGAAGTCATGCTTCACACGGCTATATCATGCTGGCAGCCATTCCTGGGTCTGGCTGTGATGTTAGTCTTCATGGGATCCACCATTGGCTGCCCTGCTCGCTGCGAGTGCTCCGCCCAGAACAAATCTGTTAGCTGCCACAGGAGACGGTTGATCGCCATCCCAGAGGGCATTCCCATTGAGACCAAAATTTTGGACCTTAGCAAGAACAGGCTAAAAAGTGTCAACCCCGAGGAGTTCCTATCATATCCTCTTCTGGAGGAGATAGACTTGAGTGATAACATCATTGCCAATGTGGAGCCGGGAGCTTTTAACAATCTCTTTAACCTGCGTTCCCTCCGCCTGAAAGGCAACCGCCTGAAGCTGGTCCCTTTGGGAGTGTTCACGGGGTTGTCCAACCTCACCAAGCTTGACATTAGTGAGAATAAGATCGTCATTTTACTGGACTACATGTTCCAGGATCTGCATAACCTGAAGTCTCTGGAAGTGGGGGACAATGATTTGGTCTATATATCCCACAGGGCCTTCAGTGGGCTGTTCAGCTTGGAGGAGCTCACCCTGGAAAAGTGCAACCTCACAGCAGTACCAACAGAAGCGCTCTCCCACCTCCGCAGCCTCATCAGCCTGCACCTGAAGCATCTCAGCATCAACAATATGCCTGCGTATGCCTTTAAAAGACTGTTCCACCTGAAACACCTAGAGATTGACTATTGGCCTTTACTGGACATGATGCCTGCCAATAGCCTCTACGGCCTCAACCTCACCTCCCTCTCCATCACCAACACCAACCTGTCCGTGGTTCCCTTCCTGGCCTTTAAGCATCTGATATACCTGACCCATCTTAACCTCTCCTACAATCCCATCAGCACTATTGAGGCAGGCATGTTCTCTGATCTGATCCGCCTTCAGGAGCTTCATATCGTGGGAGCCCAGCTCCGTACCATTGAGCCTCACTCCTTCCAAGGGCTGCGCTTCCTTCGTGTGCTCAATGTATCTCAGAACCTCCTGGAAACTTTGGAAGAGAATGTCTTCTCCTCCCCGAGGGCTTTGGAGGTCCTGAGCATCAATGAGAACCCACTGGCCTGTGACTGCCGCCTCCTATGGATCCTGCAGCGGCAGCCCACCCTGCAGTTCGGTGGACAGCAGCCCATGTGTGCTGGCCCAGACACCATCCGTGAGAGGTCATTCAAGGATTTCCATAGCACTGCCCTTTCTTTTTACTTCACCTGCAAAAAACCCAAGATCCGCGACAAGAAGCTGCATCACCTGCTCGTGGAGGAAGGGCAGACCGTGCAGCTGGCGTGCAATGCGGACGGGGACCCGCAGCCTGTGATAGCCTGGGTGACACCCCGGAGGCGTTTCATCACCACCAAGTCCAATGGAAGGGCCACCGTGCTGGGCGACGGCGCCTTGGAGATCCGCTTCGCCCAGGATCAAGACAGCGGGGTGTATGTTTGCATCGCAAGCAACGCGGCCGGCAATGACACCTTCACTACCTCCCTGACTGTGAAGGGCTTTGCTTCGGACCGCTTCCTGTACGCCAACAGGACCCCTATGTACATGACCGACTCCAACGACACCATTGCCAACGGCACCAATGCCAACACCTTCGCCCTGGACCTGAAAACAATATTGGTGTCCACAGCCATGGGCTGTTTCACCTTCCTGGGCGTGGTTCTCTTTTGTTTTCTCCTCCTGTTTGTGTGGAGCCGAGGCAAGGGCAAGCACAAAAACAACATTGACCTTGAGTATGTGCCCCGCAAAAACAATGGTGCTGTTGTGGAAGGGGAGGTGGCTGGACCCAGGAGGTTCAACATGAAGATGATTTGAGGGTCCACTAGCCACACGATCGCCCTGTGCCATTGTTTGTAAGCACTGAGACCTCCTGGCACAGTATGAACATTCATCGGTCAAGAGGCGGCTTCGGGCAGCTGCCCCTGTGACAGAGCAGGGTCCACGGGAGCTGGGGGACTTCTTCTAAAGATGCTCCACCTCGAGGAAGGAAGGCATGTGTCAGAGCCTGTCACAAAGTGGGATACTAATTGTTTGCATTGCAAATATTGGCATTCTGGGGATCTCAGTAATGAACCTGAACCTTTGAATCATGCTCACAGACAGTTAATCAGCATTTTCTACCACTGCAAAAACGAGAGAAAAAAATTTTAAAACAACAACCTACAGTGTAGGCTTTACATATGAAAGACACATTTGTCTAAAACATATTCTACAGAAAAAAAATTTGTATCTATGATTATCATTTGTTAAAGCCTTGCTCATCCCATATTGTTGGTTCAGCACCACAACAAAGTCAATATATTCTTTCCTTTCCTTTCCTTTTCTTTTGAAACATATATCCTGTATATGTTTTAAAGCAATATGAATGAGAGGTTGTGCTTTGAGTTACTCACCATGATAGATCCAAGTGTGATTCCATCTTCCTTTCCGTACAGATTTCCCTAAGACTAGATCCCTGGAGTTAGAGGCGGAGACATGTTGAGAGATGCATTTGTCGGCTGTAGGACACCAAGAAACAGGATCCAAGGCAAAACTGCTCAACTCTGTTCATTTCTGTTACTCTAAATAAAGGCATGTGCCTAGTTTTGATACAGAATGGAATATTTTTTATACTTGTAATATCACACCGGACCAGTTTACTGTAACAGTGCCCTTGTTTTCTCCAGACCTTGGTGAGCCACCAGTTGTAGTTGGCCTTTCAGATGAAAGGTAGGTGTCCATGATGAAAGTAATCCATTTAACCAGAGCTCGGTTTTATTTTCAGCAGCCACTGTTAGTGTGTCAGCAGACAACAGTGGTTATCTAGAACAATATGTAGGAATAGTCACGTCATTGCTAACATCAAATAGCCAGATGTTCTAAAGATCTCTGGATAAGATGCTCCACTCAGAAGTCAACACAAACCAGGGTGGCCCGTGCATAGCAGGACAGTATCGCAACTAGGGATCTGTTTAAAGTCTGATAACTGCCTCAAGGCTAAGGTGCTGCTAATCGGAGAGACACCTAGATGCTCTTTCCTCAGGTGTTGTTTATTCAGAGAGTGCACACAGTATTACCTTGAATGGGCAACTTCAGGGGTTCCCTGTAATTCATGACAAAGTAGACCTGGGGTATTATGTTGGAAACCATTTTAAGAAGACAAAGGAATCTGTCTTATTTTTAAAGAAGTGAGGAAAATAAGGTGTATTAAAGAACACTTGCTGTTTTGTTTTGAATCCTCCCCACCCCCAAGGAAAAATAAAGAGTATCGTCCTATACCTATGTTAAAATTTACTGACTCTTTACTCTTCTGACCCAGAAATATTTGCCCAATTTCAGCTGTATTAATGATTGCCAACTTAAAATCAAAATGTTTCTGTTAAAAAAAAGTTTTATAATGATGTTTCACCCTTAGCACCTTGGATTTGATTCAAATGAGGCAAAAGTTCCTTTAGTTAAATGTTGAGTTAATGACTTTAAAGCCAGATATTCAGATACTCCAAGACACCCTTACAAATGGAATGCATTTTATGGAACAGAATATATTTTCAGAGTAGTAGAGATAGGAAATGTCTACACTTCTATTTTGAAAGGGAGCTGAAAATAAGCCTCCTTTTGTGCAGCAGCTAAACTGAAGTAGAAAGTCTCTAGGGTTTGCTGCTTGGTGTGTCAGATTTGAGGCTGGACTTTCATGAAGCTGGAATTTTTTAGTGTTTGAAACTTGGAGGAAGTTTAATAAAATTAATAACCCCAATAAAAAAGTGACAGGCCCAGAAATTGTTTTTGCCAATTGGAGAGCAGCACAGTCAAACCCTTCCCTCCCTTCAGAAAGGGTGGAGATGAGATAGAAAGATTGAAGAATTGCCTGTGGGAGTCATATTCATTTGACTTCCCTGATGATTATCACAGCTCTTTTAGAAATTTATTTCCTGTGTGTGTGACAATTACCTTATTTATAAACAATGATAAGAATCAAACTTTGCTATAAATTCCATCACAATTTCCACTTGTGTGCAAATGGAATGGAGTATTTTGAATTATTTTTTAAAAAAATAATTAGTTAAACACTTAGTTAAAACACTCTTCCAAAAGTTATCAGAAAACTCTTTTACTTGAGTGTCGCCAAATTTATCGAAAGAGCCTGTAACTGAGTGTGGGAAACACTGAGCAAGTAATCAAAGGCTGTTATGATTCTGACAGCTACTTTCAGTCAAAATAAAAGCTGACCACAAATAGCCCAGTATAACAAAATCGGATAACCTGTTCATAATCAGATGTATTCAGACAATTTAGTTATTATTCCATTTAGAGAAGGAGACGCTGAGAGCTCTTCGGGAGGTTTTTTCACTCTTATCCAGGAAGCTGGTTCTTAAACAAACTAATAAATAATTGTCCAGAAAAGAATTGCCTTGCTTAATAAGATGAGGGGGAGCCCTGGTGGCACAGTGGGGTGTGCCTTGGTCAGTGGGTGGAAGCCACCAGCCGACACGGGAACAGTAAGCTGCCTTGTTGTTCAGTGGAATAGGAGGGGAGAAAGCGGCATTCTATAACTACCGACTAGAGGCTCAAGATACATCTTAGTCTAAAACATTATTTGAAAAGTCCTATAAACAATCCTGTTGAACACTGTTTTCTGTGAAGTCTTTAATTTGAGCGTGACACGCGTCTGTTCCTAAGGTAGCTGTCAACATCTTTACAAACTAGACTTGTGTGGAACCCGGTTGAGTCAACATTCAACTAAAAGTATTCCCCAGCAGCCTTCCCAATAGATAACCAAAAATATGCCACTGGCGTAAATACTCAAATCATTAAAGTGAATCGACAGGCCTTTTTAGACCAATCAGCAACAATCCTGTTCCATGATGGATTCACAGGTAGTTAAATAACCGTTTCATTTTGTTGTTACATTCTTTCACATGATGCAGGTCTTGGGTTCCTTTGTATATAGGTATGCCAAAGTCCAACTGTATATATGTCCAGGTTTGTGTTGTTGTTTTGCTTTGTTTTGTTTTAAAGGAAAAGCAACTCTCCTTTTGTTTATCATTTCCCCCTAATGATTTTAAAGGCCCCAAACCTCTTGCCTGAATGAGCAGTGAGGCTCCAATATAGATGCAGTCCCCAAGTGTCCCCTCCTCCCCTTTTGGCTTCATTGCCTGTCCAGCTGCACTAGCCTTTCACCCCCAACACACAACAGCACCAGCTGTGGCTCCTCTGCTGCAGGTGTTAGCAGAGTTGGCCATCCTGGGCTGTCATGGCTGGAACCAGGCTGCTGTGAGGTGGTGGCTGTGTGTGATCTAGAAGATGTCCCATCAATAGGGTGGCAGCCGCCAGAACTACCACTACCAGCTGCACTCTCAGAACCCACTCACCCAGTTCCCCCAATCCTCAAAAAGACCAATCCCCACCCTCCCATTCCTGCAAGCCCCACTCCATGACCTTGCCTTGTATGTGGACAGAGGCTTAACTCAGCTGCCAGCGTAGCCCATACCTGGTCCAGGGTTAAGGCCAGCTTCCCATCTCCAGGAGATAGTCTTGTGGTTTTGTCCTGCAAAGTCACATGAGGTTTAATACAATAGATTTTACGGTACTATAACCATAGATGGGGTAGAGACTATCTATGTATCAGTTGAGGTTTGCACCATGTCCAAATCGAATACTGCCCTGCGTCACAGAGCTTATTTCATCAATTAGACAACGTGTACCTGTAGATGCAAAGCTCTGGCATCCAGACCATAGCTCTGGTGCTCTCAGACCATTTCACAAATGGATCCCACCTGGAAGAATGTCCTTTTCTACCCTCAGAGTACCTGTGATGCTCGAACTGGGCCGTGCTAGAAACTCGCAGCTCAGACCTGCGTGTGGACCGGCACTTCCCCCTGAGGAATCACCTCTGCGTCATCTTGTTCCCAGCAGGTTTTCTTGGAGTATGCTAGGAAGAAATGCCAGGCTTGTCTCGATGTGGCGCTGAATTGACCGATACTCTGCGTATGCATTGGAAGCATTTTCAAAGAAACCTTTCATCTTTCAAGTCATTAAATACCCAGGATGAATAATCCCCTGATTTGAGCCTAATGGTCTGAAATAATTGATTCTTGCTCCTGAATATTTGCAATACATTTTGTTGGAATATGGGAGATTTCCCAAACAATTTGGTCCAGGGTGCCACATTCTACTTTACCACATTCTAATATGACTTGCGCTTCCCCTCTATTTTTATTGTATTGGTCATTGCCAGCTTTCCAAATACTCTCACGGTTGGAAGGTGTAAAACAAATATGATGGAGACTTGTGCTCCCTAGTTCCTGGGGACACTGGTCAGAGGCCTGATTTTCCTCCAGTTTCTCCCCCGTTCCCTCGTGACCAGCAGCTCCGCAGTCACACGAAAGTATTCACGATTTGCTCTGTGTGTTTAGAGTACTGTCTCTTCACTGTGTTCCGTCCTCAGTTCTCGCAAGAGCCCAGAAGTTACAATCTGCTGGAACGCTTTTTAAAAGGAGTATGTAAGTTTCACCTCTTGGAACTCCGACTTTTATCACTTTCCATTGCTCAAGCAGGAACAGCTGTCTTTTTATGTTAGAACGTACAAAAGAGGAGGTATGTTCCTCAAGATGAGAAATCGAACAGAGTCCATGGAAATGAACTTACCTTTCCAGGGTCTGCCTTCACCTCCGTGTCAGACATTCACTTTAACTTCAGGGATTGTCCCCAGAAGCTGCTCAACAACACAGAATGTGGCTTGAGGCTTTCTGGGAAAGAAAGAAAAGATCCCTCATTTCCCACTCAGAAGGCTAAGATCTCTTAAAAGAACAAAGCAAGAGTCTTTTTTAAAAAAGGAGATAGGAGAAGACAGTTAGATATATTGTGATCCTATTTCCTTTATGGTTCATTTTATTGCTGAGGAAGAATCAGAGATTGTGTTCTTTAACTTTCACCAACACCGTTTTTTATCCATCATATAGCACACGAGTTATTCTCAATGGACCTTGTGACATGTGGGCCTAGTAATGAAACTTTTCAGGACCAAACCATTCATTCTACTTAGTACTTATGTATAAATGTGTCCTGTTTACTCTCAGAATTCAAGCCCGAGAGGCTCCTCCATCAGGTCCCTGGGGTTTCCATTGGCTTACCACCGCTGGCTGTGTGAGCTCCATCATCACTTCTTTACCTCTGCTACTTGATGCCGATGAGTTGATGAGTTGGAAAGTTAGTCTGCCTTTGTGTGTGGAAAGCCTTACAGAATGAAATATTACTTGGCGTCTTGATTTTAGAATAGTATGTTTGGGTTGCCCAACAGAAGGGACCTCCTGGCACTTTGGTAGGCGTGGAGCTGAGTCTTTCTCTGACTCTCTCCTTCACTAATTCAGAAGCCATTCCCAAGAGACTCTTATCCTCCAGGCGGTTGGATAGCTGTACTTGCAGTATAGTACTAGAAGGTCAAACAGATCACTAATATGCCATGATATTCAGCTAAGTGTGCCTGATAAAAACTGGCTCCCCAGACTGTCGTCCTGGCAAGGTTTAGCCAAATAAATTGCATTTCAACTGCACAATTAATGAAAGGTTTTCAAACCTGAAGTTAGTTTGTCAGTTTTGAAGTCAGATTATTTTCTTTAAAACAAAAAACAGTTGGGAATTGCCTGGAAACTCCTGATTTTGTCAGTTCCTCAACAGACTATGATAAAATGCTTGGGGGTAATTAGCCAAGATTAAGACACTTGTAAAGGTGGTTTTTTTCCAAAACAGTCCTCCTGAGAATCTGACCCAGACAAGCTTGCATGTGCCCCCAAAGGTCCCTTCTCAGATTGCCAAGATCTTTGGAACCTTGCTTACATCTTCCCTGGAGAGCAAGCCGAATAGCCAGGAGGAGGCATAACACTGTTCACTCCCCAGGGACAGACTCTCCAGAGAGGAAAACTTTGGAATTCCCTCACATGATCCCAGTCTTCTTTGGATCCCTCACCCTCCTGCCTGCCTGCCTCGCCACTGCCACCTCACAGGTGCTGTGGGGATGCTTCAATGATTGCTCTCTCCTGGGACAAGTTTTCTTTCCTCGGTACTCAGAAAGTCTTGAGTAATTGTTAAGCTGAGAGTTGCTTTAAAAAAAGAAACCTCTGGTCTATTGAACATTACGCTTTTAAAGTTAGGCTTACCATTCACATAATCACAAGCTGACAGCAATCTGTAGGTTAAGTGATTTCTCTCTCTCTCTCTCTCTCTCTCTTCTAGGAGCAGGTGGGTTGAGATAATGCCAACCT